CCAAAATGGATGGACCTGATCCAAATACAACCTTGTCCCTGCAAGAATTGCTGTCCACATGGTGCGTGCACATGGGAGACCGTGCGTCGTCAGCAACGCACACCTACACCTATCCAACACATCATCAGATAACTCTCTCATCCTCTTCAACTCATCCTGTAAAATATCAAGACCTCGAAATGACATAAAGCCGTTAAGATGAAGCAAAGGCATGATGTTGTGTTGTGACCCCATTCGCCATCTCGAGTCCTCTAAATGGTGACGAATCTCAATTAGCATACCCTCAATGTTGTTGTGCACACGGCGGAAGATAGTGTCTAATGCTCCTGTAGAACTGTCGAACCATTGTTTAAGTACGGAATGTTGGCTCTCTACTCTACATGTGTTGACATTGCCGAAGTGCATCACCAAATTCGTCCAAACTCGCACAAATTTCTCCTTGTGGACCAACCATTGATCCTCGACGTATTTCAGCAGTGGTGGGTTCGATGCTCCCCATGTCGCTTTCATAGTTTGCAACTCTAACTCATACTCGGCAATAGTGGTCGGACACATTACTCTTCTCCATCTACCATTTTGAAATCTCTCGGCCATCAACATATCCTTCCCACACAAAATGTGCGCCCTTCCCAATACATCCTTGTTAATGTGCCACCCGCATAATAAATGCATAATTTGGAAAGACCTCTTTCAAAGCCTTCATCAACCCCAACTCACAATCAATAACAAAAACATTCGGAGCCACCTCAAATCCAATGTACAACTGCAATTTCTCCAAAACCCACTTGTAGCTTTCATAAGTTTCGCTCTTCAATATGGCATATCCGATCAAAAAGTTTTGATTTGTAGGCGTGACACCAACGAGCTCGAAGAATGGCATGTTATATCTGTTGGTCTTGTACGTAGAATCCATCCCAATGACATGTGGATACGTACGTAACATATTAGCCATCTCTGGGTGGGCCAAAAAAGCATGGGTGATGGCACGGGTATCTGGATCAACATTTATCCAAGTGACATACTTGTACTCATTTGCCAAGTGAACAAACTGGTGCGCAACATCTCGACCTTCACAAGCATCTAGACGAGCACGACTTCTCACATTATAGATATGTCTCTTGTTAGGGCTCTCATTCAGAAACTTCTCTTTCACGGCTGCCATAATGTGACGCAACTTGGCTGCAGTAGAAGTCATGTCATAACAAGCGTCTTTGCAGCTGGACTAAGACCACTAACCTATCGGTGACCTTCTCGATATACCATGAGCGGATGGTTATGCATGCCTTTCAAGCCCTTTTTAGATTTAATTATCCATCCTTCCATGTCCCGCAAACATCGAGCCGAGATTTGAAACGTACATTTACAACCCTTGCTCTTCGTGTTCTTCCATGTGGCATTTTCACGGTCCCGGTTTTCCCCTCTGTTTCTCTCCCCCCGATCACATTTCATGTAATTAATTGGAAGCCCATTTCTTTGTTTCTTATACGATGAATTTGTCAAAAAGAACCCTAATGGAGTGGCAATTTCTCTAGCCCAATCAACAGCTTCTTGATAGGTCGGGAAAACTTCTCTAGTCTAAAAATGCGGGCTATAATCAACACCATCACCGCCGTAATCTGATAATAACGCCTGATACAAATAAATAATTCTTTTAATTAATAATAACGAACAATATAACATTAATAATTATAATTATAATAATAATCTTAAATAGAATAATATTTATTATATTATCCATACTAGTATAAAAGTTAATATAATAATATTAATTTTTTTTTTTAAAAAAAAGCACCATCACCACAGTCAACCGGAGCTGCAAACCGGTTGACCGACATGGGTTACCAGATTTTACCACCGGTTGACCGTGACGGATAACTGGATTTCAGCACTGGTTGCCCACGGTAACCTGCGTGGAAAACCGGTAGACCAACATGGCCAACCGGTGTTCAAAACTGGTAAACAACTCTGGTCAACCGCCGCATAAAATCGAATCCCGGGGAGGTTGACCGGTTTCGTGCACCGGTTGACCGGTTTCAAATCAAGTTTTACGTCATCGTATTAGTATACAACTAGCTAATTTATAATTCATTCCAAATTCAGCATAATTTATAATCATATTAGTATACAACTAGCTAATTAAATAAATAATCGTACTTGTTCAAAAGCCGAGGGTTGAGATTGCAGTTGGTTTTCCGACGAATCACCGTGATTATCATCCATTTCCGATAACTTTTCCGTTTGTGGTGGTGGTCCAATCTATTAGTGGTGGTGGTCCAATGTAGGTAGTGATGCGGTAATTGTAGTCGATTAATTAAAGTTAGAAAAAAAAATTTAAAATAATTGGGTAAATATTTATTAAGGGCAAGAAAGTCCCTTTACTTAAAATGATGGCGGTTTGATAAAAAAACGTTGGCTGTATTTAGCAATCCACAAACACTGTGTATAGTGTGTAGAGTTGAGTCTTAAGTTGAGTCTTGAGTTTTCAAGACTCCACTTCAGATTTTGATAAGACTTAGCTTCTTAAATGCATTAAAAAAACAAAATCTTGTCTTAAGATCACAAAATCTAAAATTGATGATGCCACTTAGAGTCTTAAGACTCAGGGCAAGCCTCCCACAATTGTTATTTGCGTAATAAACCTAACCCACTTGGTGGTTATTAAATTATTATAGAGGACTTGCCGACTTGCACCGATATAATATGACAATAACACTCATTGGAGGTACCCAAAAACATAAAAATAAAATTCTTGTGTTTCGACATTAAACAAATCATTGAAACAGATTCGTTAAAATTTATTTCTTCTCCAAATCGACATAATTGAAGGAAACAATCATTTATTATATAATGCTACTTTGCTTTCCAAATTATTGGTAAAATTACCTTCAATTTTGATTAAATTATAATCTTAATCGATTGATCATATAGAGCTTTGGTGTTGATAATGTGTTTGTGAAACAAAGAGAATGAGAGAGAAATTGGGGGAAAGAATTAATCAGTCTATAGACTATTCCATATGATTGGGGTATATATATATATATATATATATATATATATATATATATATATATATATATATATATATATATATATATAATACAATTAGGGTTTGCTTGGATAAGAATACAAACCCTAGATCTATTTAGAATATTCTTGAATGATACAAGGAGTATATTGGACATCCACACAATATTAGAAATGTCAAAGTACATTTGTTTTTTGGTGTTTGAGAGAAATAATTGCAACGGTAGAAGCTGTTTCAATGGAATAGAAAAAGTTCACAAGTTTATTCAATGGAGAATTGGGAGTACACTTCATCGTTGAGCGACAGAAATCAAAGTATGCTTCAATGGTGAACAAGTGGAATGAGTGTACACTCTAATGGTCGAGCAAGAAATTCAAATTCGCTTCAATGGAGGAGGGGTGAGAGAACTTTTGTGTGCTTCAATGGCTAAGAACCCTAGGAGAGAGGAAAAAAATTTGGGAAGCGGTAGAAATAAACGGCTGATATGTGGAATTGAACTTCAAACGCTAACCTTTAATATTGGATTTAAAATGTAATATATTTAGCTGACTAATTAATTGACATGGAATTGGACCAAATCCAATTCCCAAATTCCATTACATCTAAACAATGAATTTGGACCAAATACAGAATTTTAATTCTGTATTTCAAACAGGCTATTGGGGAATTTGAAATTTATGGGAATTTTAAGTGACCAAGGGAGAGGTAGGTAAATTAACTTTCCATGTTTTAGTGGGAAGTCAAAATTCTCATGAATATCAAATTGCTCTATTTTCACTTTTTGTTGTTAGCCAAATAACTACTCCATTTGCAAATTCCCATGAATTTCATTTTTTACATTTTTTACATTTTTTGAACGTTAATCTAACAACACCAAAAAGGTGTTCCAAACAAAGTCTCCATATGTTTTCCATCTACTGTGTATTATTATCTATTAAAAAAACGTTATTTCTAATAAGAGTATCAAGTTATTATCTTTAATTTTTTCTTCAAGTTTCCCACACATTATAGTTACAAATTTTTAATAAGATTGCATTTTTTTTGGGAACGGGAATAAGATTGCATCTTAATGCTTGAAATATAATATCAATTAGCAAAAAACCCCTCCCCCTTTCTAACCACCGCCACTGCAGGCCTTAGACTGGCACCGCCTTCACCCAAGTCTGTAACCTTTTGCAAAAAGTTATCATTTTGGGTGATTGTTGTCAACTTGTCATGGTTACTCCATTTTATAGATGATGAAGCCACTGTCAGTCTACCATAGTTCCCTCCACATTAAGGGCTTGTTTGATTCACCATAATTTTGTTAATCTGAACTTATCTAATCTGATTTGGTCTGATTTAATCTGATCTAAATGTCAAATTTAACTAAACTTTGACCTAAAATATACGATAATCTATGCAGAAAAAATATATCAAGTATGATCTAGTTAAATTTGTAAAAATGTGTACTCCGTATTTTGTTAATATGTGATTTTCATAATTTTTTTGATTACGAAATTAAAAATAATTAGATCTTTAGCAATAAAAAACTGCACATAAAACGGTAATCTGATCTAAACTTATTTTTTCTAATCTGGTATGAACTTTTTTATTTCTGAAATAAGTAAAAAAAATAAAAAGGTGAACAAGGCCTGAGTCAAGCTCAATTAATAGTTGAGGCTAGGTAGCGATGCTGCCCAGAATGGCCACAGTATTGGAACTGCTGTTTAAGCAGTTGTGTCACAAGACAAGGCAGAAGAATAGCGCATTTGGTTAACAGGCTAAGCACTAGACTAAGTTCTTTTTCTGAAACGAAATATGTGGAACCAATATATCTTTTTCCGTTTTTGTTTCTTATACAATCTCCCATTACTTTTATATGCAACTTAGGAATTTTTATATTTCTTAAATAATACTCCAAAATTGCATATAAAAGCAATAGGAGGTACCGAGGTAATAAGTAAAACCATCAACATGTTCGGTATTTTTTCCAAAAAGTTAAAAAAAAAAAAAAAAAAAAAAAAAAAAAAAAAAAAAAAAAATCAAAATCTCAGCGATACCATGCAACCAAATTACTTCCCCGTTCCTAATTAGTTGACAGTCACACTTAAACTGGTACTAAAAGGGACAGAATAATATGTATCATCGCATTGGTCAGTCAAATTACAATCTTATGGTGTCAACTAATTCTGACAGGGAGAATATAAACACACAGAATAAGCATAAACCACTAACTTGAAGAAATATATGTGCATGTGTCACGTACCCAATTTACAACCTGACTGCAACCCTGTTTTGCACGAGGGACAGGCTCTACATTCTAGAACACCCTCTCATCTGAGCAGCTTCACAGATGAACCAGCAAAATTTGAAGCCTAGAATAAATATACCAAAAAAAGTGTCACTAGGTGGATGTATCATATATGTTAAATAGCTACCGCGCAGTTGGCCTAGCAATGGACTCATCTATTGACAAGTAACTATCAGTTGGCCCTAAGTCCATGGAGCCTAAGTGGATGGAGGAGTGCAAGGAGTGTCTGGAGATGTTATCAGAGTTGCCTTCTCTTGCTGCTTGCGTTTCCTTCTCGATCATGATAGCGTCTTGTACCTCTTTGAGCACTTCTGACATTGATGGTCTCATATGACCATGAGCTTGGACACACAGCAAGGCTTTCTCAGCTATCTTCCACATAGATTGAATGTCATATTCATCTCTCAACGAGGGATCAATTATTCCTTGAATGTCACCACTTTCAATGTGCATTTTAGCCTGAAAGTATAAGGCAGTAAGAATTACAGCTCAGCTGCATAAACAGTAAATTCACTTTGAAATGATATTCATACTGGAAGGTAGCTTATGCAATATGCACTATGCTTTTCAGCCACATCATTATTCCTTAGCACAATATATGTTTAATTTCAGGCCATCTGAAAGTGGAAATGTGATTGATATGATGACTTGGTTGGATCAGTCTATGCACTATTGCACAGAAAGACTTGTGTGGACCCGAGGTCTAGACACACGCAACTGACATTATATTGAACATAGTGACCCTTATTTTTAACATAGTAACCTTTATTAAAGCTACTACAGCATTTAATAATATTGTAAACTTGAAATACGACGTTATTACCCTAATTTTAACATAGTGGCCTTTATTATTCATATTGATCAGTATATAAAATATTTCATTAAAAAAAACTAATCACTTAGGCCTATATATTACCAAAATGACTTTTATTTCAACATAGTGACCCTTTTTTTTAATTATAGTGACCCCTTTTTTTATTAATAAAACAACTATAGTTTCTCTAATGTTAGTGGTCCACAATAAATTAGTGTGATCCAGGTCCATTTAAGAATTCATTTTGAGCATCTCTCGATTATCTTCTAGCATACTAAACTAGAGTACTAAATCCAAGTTATACATTAACAGAATTGTTCACTTCCAAAAATATAAGACATTTTATTGTTGAGGTCTAACTTTATTAATATTAACCTTTGTTTTCATAGTATCGGTAGGATTTATAGTAAAATATCTGTATCATCATAACTACAATTTCAATGATTACCTTCAACAAACTTTGACATATTAATAGTTATGATCAGCAAGGTCTAGCAACGCAAGAGTTGTTTTTTGAAACAATAATCATCAATCTAACTTATTATGCACCAACAGACGCTTAAATTATTACTTTTCAATCTACAACCAAAATCTAACTTATTTGCACCACCTGACGTTTGAAAAATTCCTATCATTCTACAACTAAGTACATTTTTATTCTAAATTGTACTACCTCCGTTAATAGTTATGTGCAACTTTTGCCATTTTTGTCCACTAAGTATTATGTGCAACAAAAATATTTCTTTCCTCTTTTAGTAAAAAAAAAAAACTAGTCAAATGTCAATTTTACCCTCGTTAAAAAAATTAAAACACAATTTACTAACTATAATCAGATTTAATTAAACACTAAATTCTCACCCAATTTTCACCCCACCAACCCAATCTAACTCATCAACTTTTCATCTTCCACTCAAGGAACCCAAAACCATCTACATTCATCCTCATCTTCATCTTCATCTCCATTCATCTTCATCTTCAATTCATCTTTCCCCATATTTTCTCTCTCCTCTTTCAACATCATTATCTCTCTTCGTCTTTTTTTTAATCTTCTTTCTCTCTTCAACTTTCAAAAAATTTGTAGTGGGTTTCATGGATTTGAGATCTTCTCTCTTTTTTCAACTTTCAAGAACTTCAATTCGTGATGGATTTGTTGGAGTGGTGGTGATGAGTTCGCATGTGGTTTCCGTTAGATCTATGGGGTGTTCCGTGAGAATGGTGGGTTGAATTTTGTGGGTTTTGTTTTTCGTGGGGGTGGGTTTAGGGTGGTGGTGGTTTTGTGGGGATTGGTAGTGGTGGTGGTTGAATTTGGCAGTGGTGGTGGTTGAATTTTGCTGGGTTTTTTTTTTCGTGAGGGTGGGTTTAGGGTGGTTTTTCGTTGGCAGTGGTGGTGGTTTTATGGGGGTTGGTAGTGGTGGTGGTTTCGTGGGGTTGGTAGTGGAGTTGGTTTTGTAGGTTGGTAGTGTTGGTAGTGAAGCCGGCGTTGGAGGCGGCGGTGGTGTTGGTGAAGGCGATTGTGGTGTTGGTGGTGTTGGACTGTTGGCTTGTCGTTGTGAATTGAAGGCGGTGGTGGTGTTAGGGTGTTGGCTGGTCTTGGTGGTGGCAGTGGTGGTGTTGGCTGGTGGTTGTGGTGGTGTTGGCTGGTGGCAGTGGTGGTGTTGGTCTTGGTGGCAGTGGTGGTGGATTAATTATCCTAACATTCTCTCTCCACCTTAATTACATACCCCTAGAATACATTAATCACCATTATCAAATTTTGCATCGTGAACCGTGAACTCCCCCAAAGTTGCACATAACTATTAACGGAGGTAGTATATCACTTACAACAATCAAAAAAATTATTTTATGTCACTTTCTAATACCAACGATTTACTATTCAGATTTGGATACCAATGATGCAGACTTTTTGAGCAATGGCAATAAAGAGAGCATGGTTATACACCAGACTTACCCATTGAACTATGTTCCGACAGTTAACACCAAAACTTTCGTTAGATATTGCTTCCTGCCCTGATATTAGCTCGAGCAAAATTACACCAAAACTATAGACATCACTTTTGTCAGTCAGCTGTTGTGAGATATAATACCTGCAGATCATCAGGGAAGTCATTGTGTGATATAGTAATTTTCTTGGGGAAAAAAGGATGGACAGGTTGACAGATTATAGAAATACTCCGTACAACAAAAATTAATGAAAAGCGTATGGTAATTGACAGAAACTGTAAATTTTATACGTTTGGGTCCCTACAATAGAGCCAGTTCATACCAAAACTAAATAAAGTGAAACCAACAGAGTACACAAGAAGGAAACCTTCAATTCAATTAGTTGCACACGTAACTATATGTAGGGGAAAATGCACACAGAGAAAAGAAATATTATTATACTTCCAGTATATGTCGTCAAATGAGCAAGTTCTGTTAATCTTAATTTAGAAATATATGGACAGAAACAATGCAATTATAATCATATATATAAAGCATGCATGTAAATGGAAACCTCAATGAGAGGAAAAAAAAAAAATTTAAGCTCACAAAATTAAATTGGTGGGTACACTGTCATTTCAAAAAAAAAGAGGCATGCACAAACATTGAATAACTACCTTGAAACAATCGTTCTCCATAAACATCACTCACAACTTCACAGTGGTAGTCTAACAATTATGTGGACATTAGGAATGGATAAAAAATACCCAATTTGGGAGTTCAAAACAACTATCCAACTGTTGGGTGTGTAAGTACAGATGACATAAATGAAGTGGCAAAATTTGCCGAGTGATAGGAAATTTTTTTACCCTTGATCTGAAGGTAAAGCCAGAACTGCTTACAGAAATTACTTATTATTTCTCTTCCAATGCTTTTCCCTGTTGTGTTTGTGCATGTGTTCTGCTCCTCATTCACACGGAAATTCAAACAGCTTCTACTCGAAATAAAACCCATTTATGACTAACTAGGTGTAAGTTAATGAAACAAATCATACGAGGCCGAGGCTTAAATAACCCCTACGGAAATTCAAGTGAGATAGTAGCCCATAGTCTTGTGTTAACTCTTTCTCCAAGTAGAAGGGAATAACCTAACATATTTTATTGTGTACTGCACGTCCTTTAAAGTATTTATGGAACCGAAATTCAACATCGATTTATTCTTATAAGACTTGTTGTGGCTTTATGTCTGCAATTGGACGTCACATGTTTTATTTTTCATTAGACTTTTGCACTTGAAAATTGTATGGGCTTGTATTGGGGGCACAATTTCACCCTCGGAGTAATAGTGCACATGTCCTTGAGCCACCATACGCAATCAAGAATATTAACACCAAGCAAAAAGAGCTTTTCCCCTCTAGCTGAAAGGGGTCTCAAAGAACGGTGTTTGATTTGTTTTAATATTGATAAATCTTTACAAAACTAGATGAGATAATATATCTTGCCAAAGGTCAAGCTATACCATCTCATGTAACCAACAATTTGGTCAGGATATTTCTTCCTTTTATGTTATTAATATTCTATTCTTCAGAAGAACTCCAGGGGTATTTTACCGCTTCTGACTCCACTTAATCTCCCCTACCCCCTTTTAAAAAAGAAAGAAAAATCTGCATCTTATTCACTTTAATGCAAATCATGATGGCTGAGCCCCAAATCCATGAATAAAAAGGTGTATCTTGTAAACAGAATCTTGAAAGTCTTATCTTGTATCTAAGAAACTCATGAACAATTAATCAAAATGGAAAATGTAAAGGAGTTGTTAATTTTTTTACAGAAAAAAAAAAAAAGAAAAAGATTCAAGAAGGATGACATGCTGTGAATGTTCCAAGTTCTAACCATTCATGAAGGAGTTAGGAAGGATATAAAACAAATGGATTTGCATGAAAATGAGGTATTTGATCGTAAGGGATGGAGGAGGATGATTTTCGTGGATGACTATACGGAATAATCACTTTTGGTTCATGTTCATGTAGCTGACCCCACTTATGGGATTAAGGCTTTGATTGATTGATTGACTGACTGACTGATTTAACCATTCAGTTCATATTTCATTGTAGAAAAGAGAACGAAAGGCCAACAATAATCTTACTCAGGATCTAGATAACCAACAGTGCCCCTGACAATGCTTGATACGTGCGAAGCTCCATCCACTGCAAGTTTTGAGAGACCAAAATCCGAAACTTTGGCCCTAGTATTCTTGTCCAATAAAATGTTGCTGGTTTTTAAATCTCTATGGATGATAGCTGGCACACAGCCCGTGTGAAGATATTCAATTCCTGAAATACAAAAAAAAAGATTATCACTTTCACTGCTCCGCTACAATAACTGTGTTTCACAGTCATAACAGAATATGTTTAGTATAAAACCTCTTGCCGCATCTTCAGCAATCTCAAGGCGCTGGATCCAATTTATGCTCCTTTCTCGGGTTAAAGGACCTAAAATCCAAAGCAACTGAGGAATATGCAAATGTTGTGTTGTATTAACTCAATTTAGTTATGGTGGGATAACTACCATAGAGATGCTCTTTGAGAGTTCCATTGTGCATGAACTCGTAAACAAGGATGCTTTTTCCATCTTCTTGGCAATATCCTAGAAACTGCACCAGATTTCTGTGGTGAATCCTTGAGAGGAGAGTCACCTGGGTCACATGTCAATGAACAAACCATATCTATCAGCGATATATAAATCAAGAATCAAATTCACAAGCTATTATGAAAGGAAGGCTAGAAGGAACAACTAAGAAAGCTTGCTCCTAAACAAGATAAAATCGTCTTTCATATTTCCTAATATATATTTTTTTTCAAAAGGAAGACTTTTTTTTTTTTTGAGTGTGGCTATCTATGATTGTTGAATTTACATTGCAAGTGTCTTCCAGTCTTTCTTAATAAGTGGATGAGCAATGAGCCTGAATAATTCTCAGAAAATCATAATTAATCGCAACTTCATACCAGCTTTAATTTGCCCTTTCAGAACATCGCACATTCATCATCCTGAACAAGGCTTTTTGTAATGGTTATATGAAATCAGAACTAGGCATCAGCTACTCTGAAAGTTTCAAGTTCATGGAAAATATGAAATATTCAGGGCCAATAGTTAAGGGCCAGTAGAACAACTGATAAGGATGTGACAAATACATTTGAAACAGGCTGAAACAAATTTGTTTGCTAGGCTAGCACTGTCTACAACTCCCAATTCATCCCCAACCTCTTTAACCTTTCTCTATTTGAGAGCCTCATAAGAGGCATTGGCGTCATAATGATGTAACTACATATAAATGAATTGAATTTAGCCTCAGCATCTTATTAACTTGATAATTGCCAGATTACTAATTCTCAACATCCTTTGTCTAGAAAATAAAATTTTCTTTGGTAGATTGCCGAGTTCGTGATACTCCCCTTTTTAAAAGAAACCTAAATGGGTTCTAAGATAAACTTGTCTCACATAAACAAAGAAACGGTGTTTGCAACCAACTCATAAGAAAAAAAAAAAGGAAAAAAAAAAAGGGGGAAGTATACAAGAACATCAAAGTCCTAACATCTGTAATATGAATTCAAGTACTACAATGTACAAAGTACAACATTATTTCCAAATTGACATATTTTCGAAGTAGTTATATATCAAAGGTGAAACTAGCTCCTAATAATGGCAAAATAGGCTTCACATTAGCCGATGAGCAGTTGCTCAGGAGCACCTTTGCTGCTTACCAAAAACACCCCTCTAGGGTTAAAGCTTGGGAGTCATTATTGGGTTGATAGACAGGGTCTTTGACACAGCTGGATGCAGGCAAACCTAACTGGGAGGTCCTGAGATGCAAGGCGCTAGAATGCTTGTAAAGCCTTCTTCTAAACGTGCTTTAAAAAAAAGGGGGGGGGGGGGGGGGGTGTAATAGTTTTTAACTAATCCTGAAACGAGAGATGTCATTAACACATTATTTCTTACAGTCTTGAGCTTGAACTCAATCATAGATTTAAGATATACAAAAGGATAGCCAAGTTGCAAGGGTCCTGGCTTCCTTCACCAGGTTTTGTTGTAGGGCCTCAACAGATCAATGGAAATTTTGGTAAAAACCCCTAGCAAGAATACAGAAAAATGTAATGACTACATGGATGCATGCCCCTAATCTCAATTTCTCTCATCGATTTTCTCTCAATGTTTATCAGCAGCAATTATAATTTGAATTGTCAAGAGTTTTCCTAAATAGGACACATTTTGTTGAGAAAAAAGTACCTCGTTTGAGAATTCTCGTCTTCCCTGGAAGGAGTTACTAGTTAGAACTTTGACTGCAATTTCTCGTCCATCTTTTAATTTACCATAGTACACCACCCCATAACCTCCAGAGCCAATTTTTCTCTCAAAATCCTTTGTGGCTTCTTGCAATTCTGAAAAAGTGAAGCAATGGGCAGCTTCTGTTGCAGTGCTCTCCAAGGAAGAAGATAACTTCTGAGATGGAAGAATATTCCCAAGGCGGGCTGAAACTCAAACATCACACAAAAAAAAGTCATAAAAATACAGTATAGCACAAAATTAAAAAATAAGGGAAAGATTACAGAGTATATTCAGCATCAGACCTTGGTCACTATATCTTTTTTTGGACTTCTTTCCTTTGTGCAGAAAATGACATGATATTATAGTTGCTATGAGAAAAACAGCAGCGCCAATTGTACTTCCAACTACTACACCAGTCCGAAAGCTTCTGCTTGCTTTATGAAGACCAGCATTTCCAGTGATGCTAAAAAAATTATTATAATTACATGTGTTAACATAGCAATAAAACAGAGTGAATTTCGCCAGTCAAACAGAGAATTTGCTAATCGACTTGAGAAATAGAAAACAAATCTCACACTGGACTCCGGGGTGTTTGGGGAAGGGGGCAGTTCGTGGGAAGGGGAAGAGTGTTCAGATATAATTGATATATCATGTACACAATCCTAGACAGAGACAATTTCTGCTGAGCTCAAGTTTCCAGGGACAAATTTACTCAACCAAAAGTTGCCAGTGACTATAAAGAAAGCCCTACTCTCAGTCTGTCAAGTGTCAACCCTCCAGTGCTTGTTAATTTAAGGTGTTTGTTTCAATATCAATACACAGGAAGTTTGCATCCCTTAAAATGTCAAAAGTTGAAAGAATAACCATGCTCAGTAAAGTGTTAAATCCAGTCCTCTTTTTATACCATAGATAACCATGGAGGTCTGAGCTTCTAATTATCTAATACCAATGCTACGTGAATACATAATGAGCACTGTTCCCTAAAATGGAAAGGAGCTGATTATCTAGGATGTCCCTCTAACTGGAAATCATAATAGCCCTTTAGGAAGAAATCGTCAGATCCTTACAGAATCAAGTAATTCTTGGTTGCTAGCTCCTAGACTTTGCACAAGACCGCATGATGGTGGAGTTGAATTTGAGAATTTAAAAAAAATAATAATAATAATAAAAAAAAAAAAAAAAAAAAAAAAAAAAAGAAGTTAAAGCTAATCAGTAATCACACAATGAACAAGATGTCAGGGAGCAAAGAGTAAATACAAAAGCAATAGCAAGCATAAAAGGCCATTCCAGTGCTGCTTACTGGAGATAGAACTCTGCAATTGTACTTATACCTTCTTTGTAAGTTGTGCCATAAACACATCAATTTTCCTATCAAAAATAAAGAAGCCTGTTTTGAATTTCAACAATTAACATTGACATGACTTCATATTTGCTATATAGTTAACAAGCACTAGTACACAATCTAAGATTTTTCCTGTTGAATTCTGGGGCATCAATATGAGTAGATCTTATCGTATATTTCACCCTCTTATTGTTAAGGTCAGACAAAGCTGTCTACCTTATTACGTTTCATTCAGGCAAAAGCACAAATTTTATGTAGCCATATACAGGAGAGACATTACTTACTTCAAAACAAGGTTATTAGGAAGGTCAGACGGCAATGTTCCATGCAGCTTATTGTTTTGCAAGAACCTGCAACCATTAGGTTCATGCATTAGTGAATTCCTAAAGACGAGCATTCAATCAGTTAGAAATACAAGCATGGAGCATACACTTCTCTCAGATTATGGAGATCAGCCAAGGATGATGGAACTGCACCTGTCAATTGATTGTTCTCCAGATGACTGCAATATACAAAGAACATCAGTAAAAGTTTAAATGGAAACATTGCTTCACATAAATACAGGGAATCATGCATACATTGTTTTCAAGTTCGGACAGCCACTAAAATCAGGAATTGGTCCAGTTAGTGAATTCCCATCAAGCCATCTGCAGTCATAGTCACAGGAGAATATGTTAGATTCAACAACTACTCCAAAACAAGTACAGCTTATGCTTCATAGGTTTAAAAATGGTGTGAATCATATATCTTACAGCTCAATCAAACCACCCAAGTTTGTGAGTTCTGAAGGGACATTTCCAGTCAAGTTTTTCTTCGATAAATGACTGCAAGGAATCAAAGATAAAATTTCATGAGACAATAATCCAGGCCATGAGGCTGCTTGACTAGAGTCTGGTCTCAAACAAAATCACTGTAAACCATGGGAATAGCAGACGATACATATCTCCAAAATATGGATGCTCCATCAGCTCAAGCCACAAAGAAAGGGACATAAAGGAGAAAAGAAAGAAACAAAGATACACTTACATTGCAGTTATAAGTGGTTGAGGGTCTGAGTTGCACTCCAACCATGACCAAGGAACAGGCAGGCATGGATCACCGCCTTCTTGAGCCCAATCAGCAGATAAGTAAGGTGTAACAAGTTTTGCTATAGTAGATCCTGAAGTCCCATCCAAAGCAGTATCAGATGTACAGCATGTGTTATTTTGGGTAGATTGCTTTAGAGAAATAGGTTTTATAGAAAATTATTATCAGCGAACAATCAATACCGCAAGCGGAAAACCAAAATCCAAAATGATCCCACGCATCTTTGAAGAAGAAAGACAAATAAGCATAAAATATCAATTACCATCCATGGTACCGCCACTTTTCTTGACATACTTATTGATCTCCATAGCATTCACGAGAGGCCCCAATGAAGAATCAGATGTCTTGACAAATTTAAAGGACATCACAAAAGGGAGGGTCAAATTTTGAAATCCAGGCTCATAGAGACGGTCCTTTCCTTGAGCATTTTCAAGGATATTTACAGCTGCTTTAGAAACCTGAGGTGCATCAGGAAGCATAACCCTAAATTTCCTTACGTCAGTCGGACCTATGTCTTCAATTTCTGCAAAATATGAGAAAGCCCACCCACCACCAGGAAAGCCATCTAAGTTTAAGCGGTATGACAATGTTCCATTTCTGCCTACTACAGCTGTTTGCATCACTTTCTGAGGTGGTCGGTCATCTGCACTAACATCGATTGGCAGCTTTGTAGAAATTTTCTCAGTGCCTGCAGCAACATCAACTAGATAATTCGGTTTCTTCAGAGAGTCAGATTCCCATATTCTATCATATGGATCATCAGGATACCTGAAAAAACCAAAATTTACATGTGTTGTTCCATGGATTACACAGAAGATAAAATTAAGCTCTAAGAACTGCAGCACTTTTAAATTTCTGAAAGAAAAAATATATCTATTTCAACTTTCAATTAGAATAAAAATCACATTTATCTACTATTGGCACATAGGTAAAAATGATGAAGATCACAATCTGTGGGTATGTTATAATTAATTGGAGGAGTTATTACCTCACAGGATCTGCACTATCCGCTCCAAAATTAATTCTGGCAGATACACTCATGTAGTACTGATTTTCATAATCTGTTATGTACATTGAACCATTGAATTGCCGAAGCTCAAGTGTAGAAATAAAGGGCAGCCCTGTTGTAGCATTGGATAAGCACACACTTATTGTTGGCTCAGCAGCAAGAAATATCATTTCAATCACCTCCACAGTAGTAGCATCTGAGATGACAATGGTAGACCAAGGGGTTGCCCCAATCGAAACGTCAAACTTTGGATAAACATTGTTGTTGTCGAAGTTTCCATATAAGAATGTGGCTCTCACTAGGAACCTAGTCCTGCTTGTTACATTTAGAGTGTAGCAGTACTTCCTGTTATCATTAGGGAAGTATCTTACTTTCATATACTGTGTCCGTGTTTCATCTGGATTAGATATATTAGCTGTCTGTCCGAATCTAATTTGGTCATCAGGAACCCATTGAATACCAAGTTTGTCAGTGTGACTATCTGTACCTCCACAATCAAGACTCACAAATCCTGCATTTGTCACAGAATATTAAGACAACAAACCAGCACCAATTAGATGCAGCTAAAATAACTAACATCATACCATCACTACGATTCGACATTGTTCGAAAAGGAAATCAACAATTAAATCGACCACAACATATCGTTTTACAAAAGGGATAGCCCGGCAGCTACAAGCCAACGGCCACAACCCACAAGCATCCTTTTTTACAAGTGTAGTGCACAAACAAATGGATCTCATATAGAGTAATTATGCAGTCCCACTTTATACAGTATATACAAGAAGGGTTTGCTACAAGATACGTGACTTTCCTCAAAATTTGATGAGAGAAAAGGTTAAAATCATGTTGACCTATATCACTAGTCGTTCGACCTTTCAAATAATCATGTTAAAGTATCTTCCACTTTGAATTATCTAGTCCAATTGTTAGGTCATATTATACTATTTTAGTGATGCTAATATAAGGAGATGATTCTGATAGATAAAATTTATCATAGCAAGTATAGTAGTAGTTGGCAGCAGAACAAACGATAACACAGTTAAATCCTGCTTAATATAATCTTGCCTAGTCAAAATCTTAGATACGCGCCTGGCTAACTGGTGAAAATAAGGGCAATTTTAGAGCCGGATTTATGCTAAAATCAGCACAATCAAATGAGCTATCTACAATTCTACATCTTATAATAATCTTCCACAAATCCTATAAAGCACAGAACTTACCATAAAAGAAAACTTAAAACAATGAACCACCTACAGCTTATAATATCACTCAACTACAATATCATTCAATTCAGCATGACAGCATCAACAAACTACAATATCTTTCAACTAATTTATAACTAAATCCGAGACGAAAGTGGAAAACAACCTTGCTAATGTCATCATAAATGACACTTTTATACAATAATAACAACTAAATTCTTAGAATTAAAACGTACAAATAGGTGCATGCTTCAATTGCAATTGTCAAGATTTTCTTTTTAAGTAAAAAAACCACTAACAATTCATGTAAGTTATTATCATAAGCACTATAAAAACAGTCTTAAATTACTAAGATGAAAAAAAAAAAAAAAAAAAAAAAAAAAAAAAAAAAAAAAATCAGAACAACTTTTAACAAAAACAAGAATAATAAAGCAAACAAATTGAATAAATCAAACAACTTAAAAGTTTTACCTGTCATCTGGGCATCGCTAAAACAGACATGAAACAGCAAAAAAGAGATGAAAGTGGAAAACCCAGAAATCCAAATCGCCATTTTTTCAGAGAAAAGCATGAAAAATGGAAAATTGATACAAAAAACCCCAAATTAAATGGGGGCATAAAATGAGGAAAAAGTAATAAAAGTGAAAAGCTGATAAAACAACGAAAAAGTTCACATTTTAAATCAATCAATTAGAAATATTAAATAATAGAAAAACTAAAAGCAAAGTTTCAATCTCTCTCATATAATAATTACAGTAAGAGAAGGAAGAGAGTGGAGTTTAATGGAGAGTGGGGTGTTTGTATTCAGAGCGCAGCATTCATATTACTTTTATAGGAAATATTTATTATTGGTGATAAAAAGGTAAGATTATAGATTAACGTTATATTAACAAACTTCTTAGATAAGTGATGTATGATATTTAAGTCTCAGTGTATTGATGAAGCACAAAAAAAAAAAAGCTCGCCCAGGTTACTCACAGTGATTGTTTCTCACGAACAAGTGGCATACCAGTTGGAAACTTTAGTTAAAAACATTACATGTCATACAGCTTGGTCATTATTCCGTTAAGTCACGGTGATAGTCTTCCAACAATAATCACCTGAGTTTCTCCCGAGTTACAATTGAAGAAGCTCCCATCTTCATCTTCACACCTTCAATTGTGAACCTGCAATTGTTGCTCTGCTTTGGACATCTCGCGTGGTGGTGTCGGTGGTCGTAGGTGGCAAGCTGAATTTAAGGTAATTTAAGCTCAATTTAAGCTCCCATCTATCGTGTTGTTGTTTCTTTCGCCACTTTTCATGGAGTTATATCATGAATTTCTGTGGTTTAATGTTTAATTTTTGTTAATTTGTGTGACCTGTTGTTGAATTAGGGCATTGGTGAAAGTTTGTTATGTGAATTACCTTTGCAGTTGCTTAATTTTGTCAATAAAAGCTGCATTTTCGTTAAGTTATGCTATTTAGTGTACTTGTATTTGTGCCTTTGCTATGAATCTGCTACTGCTGTCATTTTGCTATGCTTGGGTATGTATTTTGTTAATTTCTGTTTAGTATTTGATATTAGATGGTATTTGTAGGTGGAAATGGATGTTAATTTGGTAGGTGGGTGTGATGAGGTGGGTAATTTGATGGAAATTGGTGTAGAATACAGTCAACACGAAGGTTGTGTTTTGAATTCAGAGAACGTAATTTCAATGGGAGGTGGTCGTGATGAGGCGGGTAATATGATTGAAATTGGTGTAGATGGGAGTGACAGTGAACATGAGGGGTGTGAAGTTTTGAGTGCGCAGATCTTAAGTTCAATGGGAGGTGGGTGTGATGAAGTGGGCAATTTGATTGAAATTGGTCTTGATGGCAGTGAACAGGAAGGGTGTCAAGACGCGAATACACGGTCCTTGGAGAACATCACCCTTACACAGACCATTGAAAACACTTCACCTTTGCCCACTAGAATTGGTAAAGCTAATAGTCCAGTGCAGAACCGCTCCCCAAATGAGACAATTCAAACCATTGAGACTACTGTGTCAACGAATGAGTTCAGTGTGATAACCACTATTGACCCTTCAAAAATTGGTATGGTTTTTAAGTCCTGGCAATACATTGAGTTGTATTACAAAACATATGCAGAGCAGTGTGGATTTGGAGTTAGCATGGTGCAAGCTGCTTCTAACAGTTCCAAATTGATAAGCAGGATCACATGGAGGTGTGAATGTTGGGATCCACCAGATATGAGGGCCAGGCACGAGGCAAGGAAAAGGGCCAAGTTAATGGATGTTGGAGGCTCTGCAGGTAATGTGAATGGTGACATTGGTGAGGATGAGCTTGCACGTGGTAAAAGGAAATCCAAAAAATGTTTCTGCTTAGCTAGCATATATGCTAGTCTTTCAAGTGATGGCCTATGGGTTTTGAAAACCGTCCACTTAGAACATACTCATATTCTTTCACCAAGCATGGCTAATTTGGTGAAAGAGTATCGTATGAAGAAATTGACCTCAACTGTACAAAAGAGGTTAGTTAATTTTTATGAGGAGGGTGTTCCTGTGTCGCAAATTCGTGGGTGTTTAGGCGCGGAGAATAAGAATTTGCCGAATGTGAAGGATATGCAGCACGAGCTTTACAAGCATAGGCGCTTGAAGATGGCCGGGGGAGATGCACAGGCAATGATGGATTACTTTAATTATATGCAGGCTGATAATCAAAACTTTTACCATGTCCATAGGTTGGATCAGAAGGGTCGTCTAAAGGTTGTGTTGTGGGTTGATGCAAGGAGTCGGGTGGCTTATGAGGAATTTGGAGACGTGGTGTGTTTTGATTCCACATATCTAACAAATAAGTACGAGCTACCATTTTCCAATTTCGTGGGAGTAAATCACCATGGCCAGTCCATTTTATTAGGTTGTGCTCTTGTTTCACACAAAGACTCTAACACCTTTCGTTGGATATTCTAACAATGGTTAGCTTGCATGGGGAATAGAGCGCCGGCCGCTATTCTCACTGACCAAGCAGCTGCAATGAGGAAGCTTTAGCTGAAATTATGCCCAATACACGCCATCGTTGGTGCATATAGCATATACTTAGGAGATTCCCTGACAGACTTGGAAGCTGTGCCTTGTAAGTAGTCTAATGTAAGCTTCGTTTTGTACTTATTTAAAACCTGCTGCTTCATACATCTTTTTTTTTTTTTTTTTTGTATCATTGGTATAAGAAGTTCAAGAACCCTTTAAAGGAAGTAATATATGAAAGTTTCACTGTTGAAGAATTTGTGACTCGTTGGTGTGATGCAATGAAGCTGTACAAGCTTGAGGACAATGAATCTACAAGAGTTGTTCATTGAGAGGCACGTGTGGATACCGGCTTACATGAAAGAGTACTTTTGGGCTGGTATGAAGACAACACAGAGAGTAGAGAGTATTAACAGGTTCTTTGATGGATTTGTTAAGCGCAAAACTAAGCTTTGAGAGTTTCCTGAAAAATATTGCAAAGCAATGAAGAAGAGGACCACCGATGAGATAGATGCTGACGCAAGGATTCTAAATACATAAGGCGGCTTGTCAGTGGATTCAGAGCATAGAAGCTCTTCTAAAAAATCTACACAGATTCCAAGTTTCAAGAAGTGCAAAAGGAATGTTCAAGGATGCTCTATGTCGTTCCTAAGGGTGAGAGAGTTGTTAGTGAAACAAAAATACACTATCTTCAAGAAGATAGAGTTTGGATCGTTCGTGAAGGAGCAAGTGAAGAAATCATTACTGAATGTCAGAGGTTTTACTCACTTGTTTTCAATCCTATTACGAAAGACACTACCTGTGACTGTCGCAAGTTTGAGAAAGATGGTAATCTTTGTAAGCACAACATTAGAGTTTGGGATGATAACAAGGTCAAAGATATTCCATCAAAGTATATACTTGATCAGTGGTGGAAGGATATTCCCAGGAGGCACACACGAGTCAAGGTGGCTTATCACGATCCCAGTGAAACCAAAGAATGTAAACGTTGGAACAACCTGATTCATGATCTAGAGGCTTTGTGCGAGGAAGCATCAGCGGTGGACGATGATACAGTTGAGGCAGTTCGCACAGCAGTGACACAGATTCGAGCGGAAATAAGGGTATGCCATGCTAAACACTTGGCAGCCAATGCTCCAACTGAGTGTTCAACATTCCCTTGTTCCGAAATTGGATCATCTAATCCCCAGCAAGGGCCAGGTAGTACACCAAAGTCAGTGTCCAAGGCACCGATACCAGAAAGTGGGACTAATCACAAACCTTCAGCATTTGTGATTAGTGATCCTTTATGTCCAAAACGGCGTCGTGGGCGTCCGAAGGGCTCTACAAATAAGGGTCCAGCTGAATTACGCAGCACACCGATGTCTGTTAACGAGCCTCATCAACCACCAAGGCTAGACACCGGAACTCATCAGAACCATACCCATAGTGAAGGAACTGACAACTCTGCATTTGTAATTCATGAACCTGTAAGCCAAGAAAGCCGTCGTGGGCGTCTGAAGGGCTCTAAAAATAAGAGCCTGGCTGAATTAGGCAGCGCACCAATGACTAAGCCTGTGACGGAATCACCACAGCAAGTAACAAGGCCAGACAACGGAATTGGCAATTCTGCATTCAGTAATACATGATCCCGTAACTACAAAAAGGCCTAGGGAGCGTCCAAAGGGATCTAGAAATAAGACCCTGGCTGAATTAGGCTACAAGCATAGTAAGTCGAAAGCTGCACAGGTAACAACCTCAACTACCTTCCTCACTTGTCCTATCGCGTCTTAATTTGCATTTACCAATCTCTTAATTACCTCTTATGTTCCTTGTCCATTTCAAAATTAGGCAACCAAACCTGGAGATGGCATAGGACAAGCTCCAAAGTTACCGGTAATTTGCTGTGTGTTAACTATTTTAGATTGTGTACTATTAATGCAACAACGTGAACTAACTATACTTTATATAACAACAGAGGAAGCGTCAAACAAGACAGAACCCATATGCTGAATTCAACACTGTTACTCCTGATGCTGAACGTGATGAATTCAACCCATGGGGTGCCACGGAGCACGGGCTCACAGAGCACTGGTACGAGTCTCCTTACGTTTGATCACTCATGGGTCGTGGTTTTAAGTATCAAATGATGATACTCACTTTAAGTATCACTTGTTTTTGAATCTAACCAATATTTGTATCATTTCAAGTGATTATTTTTTGAGTGTGAAAGATTTTGAACAAGAGATTAGTTGTCCTCAAACTTAATTAAGGGGGTGCAATTTACCAACATGTGTTATTTGTAATGGAAGTACTAATTTGGGTGACTTGATAGTTTTGGACTACTCATTTTGTTACTTGTTTTTTGTAATCGTAGTATTGATTTGTTTCACTTTGTAGTTGTGCATCTAAGATCTAGTCAAAAAATTATGGAGGTTTTTTTTTTTTTTTTTTTTGTAAAATAAAAAAAAAAAACAAAAATACGATATGGGCCAATCTATTATGAGAAATTCAGGTCCTACACGAAAAATGTTGAACAATTGGGCCGAATTTACAAACAACCAAACTATTGTGCAATATGGGCTTAATTAAAAGTGCATCCTATATTTAGATCCAACAATATTTATCATGCCAAAGGGTTCAGTTTAGGACTGGACCGAATCCAACTGTTAAATGGTTACCAACCCAACCCACAACACCATACCCAACTAGAGGTGTCAAAACCGAACCGACCCGAAAAAAATTATCTGTTTCGAACCGTAACCGATCCGATTTGATCCGAGAAATTCAAGACCCAAACCCGATCTGTAACCGAACTAAACTCAACCCGCATTCGAACTTGACCCGATCTGAACTTAACCCGACACCGATTTGATCCGAC